TATAATGAGGCATAGCTTTCTATATACTTATTTGCCTTCTGTATATCTTCTTTGGTGAGGTGTCCACATCTGTTAAGATCTTTGGCTCAATTTTTAATTGGGTTTTTTGATTTCTTAGTGTTTAGTTTTAAAAGAATTCCTTGAATATTTATGTCGTTCCTTGATCAGATGTGTATTTTGCAAAGATTTTCACGCAGTCTGTGTCTTCTCTTCTCGTTCTATTAACAGTGTCTTTTGCAGAGCGGATGTTTTTAATTTCAATAAAGTTCAACTTGCTAATTTTTTCTTTCATGGATGGTGGTTTTGATTTTATATCTAAAAAGTCATTGCCAGACCCAAGGTCACCTGGATTTTCTCCTATGTTATCTTTTAGGAGTTTTATAGCTTTGAGTTTTATGTTTAGGGCTATGACCCATTTTGAATTAACTTTTATGAAAGATTGTAAAGTGTGTATCTAGATTCTTTTATTTTCGTTTTTTTGCATGTAGATGTTCAGTCAACCAGGCCCTTTTGTTGAAAAAACTGTCCTTTCTCCATTGAATTGTCTTCACTCCTTTGTCAAAGATCAGTTCACTATACTTGTTTGGGTGTATTTTGGGGCTCTCTATTTCTGTTCCATTGATATATTTGTCTGCTCTTTTGCCCATACAACACTGCCTTCAGTCCTACTATGTAGCCTTATCATAAGTTTCAACGTCAAGTGGCATCGGTCCTCCAACTTTGTTCTTCCCCTTCAATGTTGGGGTTGGCTATTCCGGGTCTTTTGCTTCTTTGTATAAATTTTAGACCCATTTGTTGATATCTACAAAATAACGCTGATTATGATGAGTTTAATCTATAGATCAAGTTACCTAGGATTGATAGCTTAACACTATTGAGTTTTCCTTTCCATGAACATGAATATCTCTCCATCTATTTAAATACTCTTTTATTAGCATTTTATAATTTTCCTTATACACATTGTGTACATATTTTGTTAGATTTATACTAACTCTACATTTTTCTTACCCAGAATTATCTCATAAACATGTTTTGTATTTGTTTTTCCCATTGTTAGTGTTGAAATTCAGGTTCTTGTCATAACTCATCTTGACAGTTACAACAGGATTCTAACTAGTCTTCTAGATGCCACTATTCTTCCTTCAAGTAATCTTTTATATGCCAGTGGAGTTATCTTCCTAACCAGGAAATATGCTTCTGGACATTCCTTGTGTAAAAACTGTTGTATTAACTTTGGGATAAAGTTCAAACTCTGTAGTCTGACATGAAGTGCTTTCCATGAGTCATCAATAACCAGTCTTGGGGCTGGCCTGGTGGTGTAGAGATTAAGTTCAAGCACTCTGCCTTGGCAGCGCAGGGTTGGTGGGTCAGATCCTGGGTGTGGACCTACACACTGCTCATCAGGCCAAGCTGTGGTGGCATCCCACGTATAAAAATAGAGGAAGATTGGCACAGATGTTAGCTCAGCAACAATCTTCCTCACAAAAATGAAAATAACCAATCTGAAAATTCCTACTTCCATTACTCGATCTCAAGGACTTTAGCAATAACAACGTGTTCAAATTTCCTGAACCAGCCAAGCAATGTCAGACCTTTATGTTTTGTGGTGTTCTGTCTTCTGCCCAGCATGAATTGTCCTCCCTTTTCTACCAAAGGAGTTCAAGTCAATCTTTCAACACCAAACTAGATGCCATCACCTCAGTTAATCCATTTCCATCAGCCCTGGTGAGTTAGCCGTCAGTCTGCCCTGCTCCTTGACATTCATCACCTTCATGGTCTCGTTCATCACCAGAGGCCACACTGATGATGTGGACTCATCTTGGATTCCTTGTTTTCACATGACTCATGTTGCATCATCCACATCACATCACAGCCAGTCCGGTGGCTTTACCTCCAACATGTTCCAGAACTTGATCACTTCTCTCCATGGTCACCACTGCCCCTGTGACCCCTGACTTGGTTATGAATTTTTCTCACCTGGATTATTGCAATAGTCTCCTGTCTTCCTACTGCCACCTTGCCCCTAGCCCCGCAAGATCTATTATTACCACAGCAGCCAGAGTATCTTCTGCTCAAACCTTCCATTGGTCTCTAATTTCGATCAGGGTAAAAACAAATGTCCTTGTCAGGACCTGTCCAGCCTCCTTCCCGGGGGCCTCATCTCAGTGCCTCTGTACAGCAGCCGCTGCGATCCTTTCTTGGCTCCTCCTGCTCTCCTCCTTGCTCCTGCTGCTCCACCCCCACTGGCCTCCTTCCAATGCATGAACACCACTTGGGGTACACTCCGCCTAGAAACTTTTATTTCCCCAGATCCCCACAGGAACTGCTCCCTCAGCTCCCACGAGCCTTACGTAAATATTATCCTTTCAACATAGCCTTACTGACCCCTTTAAATATATATGCCTAAGTTATCGATCCTCTTTCCTCCTTTCTGTAAAGCACTTATTACCTTCTGATATACTGCATAATTAATTTATTTGCCCAATTTATTTGCAACTGTTAATGCTTTATCTTCAGCACCTAGAACAGACCTTAGCTCATGGTTCATGCTCAATAAATGTTTATGTAATAAATGTATTTGTCTTTCCTCTGCACTGTGAGCGTCAGGAAGCCATTCATTCTTTATTAGCAGCCTTATTGAAATACGACTGATGTATAAACAACTGCACATATTTAATTGTACAAGTTGATGAGTTCGTGTGTATACATACACCTGTGAAGCCATCACCACGATCAAGGTAATAAACATATCTATCACCTCCAAAAGTTTCTTTTTTTGTGTTAAGAAAACTCAACATTTTTTAAGTAGACGATATGATATTAACTATAGTTACTATATTGTATAGCTGATCTCTAGAATTTACTCTTCTTGAATAACTAAAACTTTATATCCATTTGAACAACAACTCCTCATTTTCCCCTCCCTCTAACTCCTGCAACCACCATTTTACTCTCTGCTTCTATGAATTTGGCTATTTTAGATTCTTTGTATCAGTAGAATCATGTGGTATTTGCATGAACCTGGGGGACATTATGCTCGTGAAATAAGCCAGTCCCTTCTTTATGGCTCTATCCTTACAAGAAAGCCTAGCATAAAATAAGCATGGGAGAACTCTTTGCTAAATAAGTAAAAAATGATAACAAACAGTTTTGCATGCCAAATACAGTTCCAAGTGTTTTCGATTTATTAACTCCTTGAAGCCTCACAATGATCCGTATGAGAGAAGTGTTATTATTTTTCTCATTTTGTCAGTGGAGAAACTGAGACGCCACAACTGCTAAGTGTTAGAGTTCTAACTCATGCCAGTTCCAGCCTATGCGTCTTCACTCCTACCTGAGACTATTGCTCGTGAATTAAAAACAGTGAGGGCTGACACCTGGCATCATGGGCTCCAGTGGGCACTGTGAAGGGCCAGCAGCTCCCCGTGCAGGACCAAAGATGCTGTACTAGTCAGGTTCTCCAGAGAAACAGACCAATAGGATAGGTAAATGATAGATAGACGATATATAGATGATAGGCAGTGAGGCTGGAAAACGGTATGAACTCTCCTTTCCTCTGCCTTTTGTTTTATTCAGGCCCTCAGTGGATTGGATGATGCCCACCCACACTGAGGAGGGCCAGCTGCTTACTCAATCCATCTACCCAAATGCTAATCTCCCTACAGACACATTGAGAAACCATGCTCCGTCTGGACCCCTGTGGCTGGACAGGTTGACAGGTAAGATAATCCATCACAGATGTCTTCCTCACAGTCCTCAGCTCCCACATTTCCGCACTGAAGAGAGCTGCCTTGCCCAAGGTCACGCCCCTTCCTGGGGCGGCCTCCACCCAATGACAGGGCTGTACAACCTCCTGCTCCCTCTTCCAACTCGAGCGGCCTCTGAACACCATCCCGCTCCCTGTGGGGTTGGGAACAGCGTTTCCCGAGGCTCCTCTCAGTCCAGCTGCCCAGCATTGCTTTCTGCCCTTCTTTCCCACAAGCAATAATAGCAAGGGTGCCTCCTAATTAAGCCCTATGTGCTGATCTTCACTTCAGGGTCAGCTTCCAAGGGGGCCAAGCTGTGGCACAGGCTTCTACTAATTCTCAGAGGAATCGGGGAAAAACACATTTTTCTGCAAAAACTAGAAAGCAAAACTGTTTCGAAATGGAGACTCCAATAGGATGCCTTGGTTGACCTAGGTGGAAGTGTGAAAGAGGAAAGGAAAGATGAGATCAATAAAGCTGACTCTATCTTCATTGCTTTTGGCAGAGGAGCAAGGAGACAACTATGTCATATCCAGGCTTCACAGCGACCTTGTGCGAGATATTCGAGCATCACATTTAATGGATGAGCAATCTGGGTTTAGACCTAGCGAACAACTTGCTAAAGTCATTTTGCCAATAAGTTGCAGAGTCAGATTCTGACTGGTAAGCTTTGTCTTCTATGACATCATCTCGTGCTTAGTAAGTAGCGAAGTTCTGGTTTTTGTTATTTCAGCAGCATGATCATCATAACTTCACCAGCTGAAGTAAAGATGGCTAAGATGGAGTTCTGATATTTTCTATAATGGCTCTTTGGTGGATAAAGGGAACCAGCTCACTATAGCACTGGTGCTAATATAAAATATCACTATTTTTAAAATCACCAATGAGTATAATTTGCAAAGGGTCTTATTTTTCCTGTATAAAGGTTAATGTCATTAAGCTGTTCCTTGCTATGCTATTAACAACGGGGTGTGCTGCAAGGTACCAGGAGTTTAGCGTGTGGCAGGAAGGGAAATATTCTTGGGAAGCACTAAGTGGCCTCTTTAGAACACACCCTAAGTCTATAGAAAGAGAATCGTAAATGCAGACAATCAGGGAGCTGGGGTATGCGGCTTAATGGCAAGTCAGGGAAAAGCTTTTAGGCTGGTTTCCAAAGGGGCTCCTGGGGTGGCGTTCATTGTCTTCCTAAATTCACCCTTATCTGGGCTCTGGCTTGGTGAACACACGAGAGCATATCCGTTTCTCAGTGGTAGACACAATTTAATCATGCTTGCAATACTGATACAGAAAAGCAAAATTTAACATATGTGTTTGCCGCGAGCTCTCACGGTCAGCTGGTCTTTCAATATCATCAGTCTAAATGCAAAGCCACTTCTCATCATAATTTGAAGCCACTTCAATTTCTCAGACAAGGATTCACTTCCACAGTGACAAGGAGCCCTCAGAGTCCACAGATTAGGGCACTCCTTTGTTGCAGGAAAACCCTTTCAGGGATTCAGATCCTCCTATTCTTGATGAGATTAGAAACAGAAGGAAAAAAAAAAGGAAGAGAATTAATTTAATTGAATGTCTAATGTGTTTACTCAAATTTACCTCTCCCTACGTTCTCTGAGCTCCCCTAAAATACAAGGTCACTTGCACAAATACACTGTTGCGTCTCATCACAGGTGCTGTGGGAAAGATGGGGACATCATGGAGAGCAGTCAAGCGTAGAAATCCCGGTTAGACTTGCCCTTCCCCACATCTAAACGCTCGCGGCCAGCAGCCTCTCCCTCTCTCGACGTCTCCTCATGCAGCCTCCAAATCTCTCTGAGTCCTTTTCCTCCTTCTGGCTCTTCTCTGTGGCCTGTCTGCATCTCCCCTCTCTTTCTCAGAATGTTTCAGTTCTGTCCTAGCTCCTCCAAACGTTACTCTCTCCCCCTCCACTTAATATTTCCTGTAAAGAAAGGACGCCATTTCCTTGACTTTGGGCTCAAACACTGTAGCCAGATACTCACGTGCTACAACATGGCCAGCGTGCAGGTTCTAGATTCTAGAAATGAGCATTCATCGGGTAAGTCCCCGAGATCACTGACTACAGTAGGAATGTCCCCATCCTGCCGTTGCATGAACAGTTCAGGCTCAGTGAGCCGCTCTTCTTGTGTAGGAAAGTCCTACATCAGTTTGGGGAACCGCTTCCTGGGGATATTCCCAGAGGCCAACCTTGCAAGCGGGTCTTTTAAGCCCAGCTACCTTCCCTTCTCTGCATGACTGTTAAGAATTTCTCTAGCATTATTAACTTTGATTTTTAGCCTTTTTATTACGGAAAGTTTCAAATTTGGGGGCATATTTGATATCCTACCTAATAAATATAAAAGCCCCTTTACTACTGACATTCCTGCAGGAAAAAGCGAATTTATTATTGTGACTTAGAAACATTTTGGATGAAAAAACAGGCACTGTAACCCATTTTTATAACTTGATTTGAGGGCACTAACTGTCTTAGAGAACACTAGCATTAGAGAAGAACCTAGCATACTGATGGGCAATTAAAAATCTATTTCAAAAATGTTCTTTCACACTGTTTCTGCGTTGCTTCTTGAGCTGTTTTCTTCACGTCAGAAACTTCTATGTATCATTTTAGGCTGAGATTCCATGGCATTTTAATATTGTAAGAAAATTTTAGTTGTAGGTAAAAGAGCTGAGCATAGATACTCAAAACACATTTCATTTTTACGTTTACTGAAATTTTATATGTATCACCAAAACATACATATCATAAGTGCACAGCTCAATGAATTTTCAAAAATGGGTCATACCTGTGTAATCAGAACCCGATCAAGGAAAAGAACATTACTCACAGAACAGATGCCCTCTTCACAGTCCCTTCTAGAATTCTCCCAGCTCAAAGGTAGCTGCTGTTGCTTCCCGCATACATTAGGTTTCCTGGTTTGTGTTCTTCCTATAAAATGGAATCATACACTGTGTGCTCTTTGGTGTTTGGCTTTTTTCATTCAACATTATTTCTGTGAGTTTCATCTATGCTCTTGCATATATCCTTAGTTTTTTTCTTTTTAAATTGTTGTGTAGAATTTTACCATGGAATAACCATAATTTATTTATTCATTCTATCAGTGATGGACATTTAGGTAACTCCATTTCTACAAAGTGTTACTACAAAAAAGAGCTACGGTGAACATTTTCGTATACAACTTTCAGTTAGCAAATGTAGGCAAACCCATTGGCCATATACCTAGGAGCTAGGTCACAGAGTATGCGTGTGTTCAACTTTAGTCTGTGTGGTCAAACTGTTTTACAGAGTAATTATATCAACTTAAACTTTCACCAGCAGGGGATGAGAGTTCCAGTTTCTCCATATGCTCACCAGCACTTGAAGTTATTTATCTTTTTTATTTTGGCCATTCTTGTGGATGAATAGTGGTGTCACTTTATGGATTTAATTTACATTTCCCTGATGACTAATAAAATAGAATACTTTTTTCACATTTTTATTGACTACCTTGGTAGTGTTTTTTCAAGTCAGTTCAGTCTTTTTGTCATTTTTATGAGTTGTCTATTTTTTCTTACTCAATTGGGGGTAACACATATTTGGGGTATGAATCCTTTTTTGGATATATGTATTGCAATATGGTTTCCTAGTCTTGGTTGCTTTCTCACTCAACTTTTAATTTTTTTTTGTTGTTATTGAATACAAGTTCTTAATATTAATGGGGTCTAATTTATCAACTTTATGATTAAGTAGCATTTTTTCTATCTTAAGAAAACTTTGCCTACTTCATAAAGGCAGAGAAGACATTCTCCTGCCTTTTCTTTTGAAAGAATTTCTTTTTCACTTTTTACATTTAGATGTTTTATCTACCTGGAATTAATTTTCATGTATGGTGTGAGGTAGGGCTCAAGATACAATTTTATTTTCACGTGGGTATCCAATTGATTCATCACCAGTTATTCAAATGTTCTGTTTCTCATGGATTGAAGCATCACCTTTGTTATATATCAGATGGCATATGTGTAATACTACTTCTTACCTCTCTTTCTTGTTTAACTGGCAACGTTGCCTAATTTTTACCAATATCACAGTCTTTTAAATTACTGTAGCTTTAGAATAAGTCTTGATATCTCTTTTATAAAATTGAGCAAGATTTATTCTGAGGTGTAGACGCAAGAGTGGGAATGTTAGACATAAGGCATATGGATGTATAATTTCTCTAAGTAATGTCATACAGCCTTTCAGAATAGCTGTAGGAATTATTGCATCATCAATATTTTCCTCCTGGAGTGAGAATCTTCTCCTATTCTATTAATTCCTTCTCTTCTAGGCAATGGGTATCTGAGGACTGCAAATGCTTACAAGACAAATTAAAGACCAGCGTGTAAGCATCTTGTACCCTTGGTATGGATTGACTAGTTTTCCATTCCACCTTGTCTCATCTTCATCCTCTAAGACACTAACAATTTCATCCCTCCTGTTTCCCAAAAGACTAGAAGCATTATGCTATGACTAGAAGTCACTCCTGGGAGTGATCCTTGAAATGATGCCTTTCAGTTTTGAAACAAGTAGCAGCAGTGGCCCACAGGAAGTCAATTGAACTTTCATTTAATTCATTCATCTGTTAATTCAGCAAATATTTATTGAACATCTACAGCTTCAAATACTCAATGAACAAAATACACAAAAATCTATGCCCTCTGTGGATTTCATTTTATAGTAGCTGGAGATAAGCAATAACAAATAAATTAATTAAATATTTATTTTGAAGGGAATACTTAGGATTTGATGAAACGTACAGTACAGAACTTGAGAAAAAGAGAAATCAAAATTGAGTCTGAGATTATTGGTCTGAAGATATAGTTGTCATTTACTTATATAGGGAAAATTATAGGAAAAATATGTTTGGATTTGAAAGTGTTCATTTATAGATGCTTATTAGATATCAAAGGAAGTATTTTGATTAGGTCGATGGATACATTAGACTGGAGTCCATCAGAGAGCCCTGGGGAGGAGATACATGGTTGCGAACTGTCAGTCTACAGATATATTTAGAGACAAGGGTCTGGATGCTATCAGCAAGAGAGTGAGGGTACTGAGAGAAGATGATAAATTCAAAATATGTGCCCTGGGGCACTGTGACCTTTAGAACTTGGAGAGATAAAGAAAAACTAGCAAAAATAATTGAGAACTAGGAACCTGTGAGGTAAGAGAAAAACAGGGAGACTGTTGTAGCCCAGAAATTCAGTCGAGGAGCATTTCTAGAAGCAGGAAGTGATCAGCTCTATAAAGGCCACTGAAAGGCAAAGTGACATGAAGCAGAATGTGTTATTGGGTTTAGAAGGATTGCTTGTAAACTCTATAAAATCAATACAGTTGAGAGGGAATGGGGAGAGAATTGGAGAGAATGAGCATAGAAAACTCTGGGCTAATAATTTTCTTGAGAAGAAGTATAGAGAAATACATTGATACCTGCAAAGGGATAGAGTCAAAAATGTACGTTAAGGATGCTATCTAAGTGATATTCCAGGAGTAGTTATTTAGCAGTGTGCTTCTCCACAGCTTGAAACACTCCCAGAAGAATGTCCAAAAGTATAACCTGACTTCCCCTGGAGCTCACCAACCTTTAGGGAAGATGAGGGCAGAGTTGTAGGAATGTCAACTATGTCATAATCTCTTAGAGCATCTGGCCTTCTGGAACCTTCAGCCCCACACCCCACCACACAAGACTTTGGGCTCAAGGGAAGGACCTCTCTTGCTGAGAGCTGCCATCGCCACTGCTCCATAACGTGCCTCAGTTTCCTCACTGTATGCTGTTGCTGCTCTGCCTCATGTGTGGTTCTCCACCATGTTCTGCAAGCGTGGATAGACAGGTGTGCAGGCTCCTCTGAGGCCCCAAACCAGACTGTCTGTGGAAATGTGGCAGATAACACCTGTTGCCCCTTGTTGCTTTAAATATGGTTTTAGAAGTGTGTCAAGTAGTAGTTTACTCCTCTTAGTTCTTACTGAATTTTCTAAAAATCTATTTTCCCATTTACTTGCAAATCTGGACCCAGATGTGAATTCACTGGGCTGGATTGGGGCTGTGTTTGAGTGACAGCCTCATATTATGCTCCAGTCACAGCTTCCATCTGGCAACTGAAGCAGTTTTGGAGATGGGCAATCTGGCAGACAAAAGCATCCTGATCCTCCCTCCCCTGTAAACCGCCCCCTCCTTCAAGAAGCTCACTAGACTTTCTCAAGTCGACTTTTGTTGGGCTAGCCTATTGGTTCACCTTATCCAACCACATATGTCTGAGCCTCAGTTGTAGAGACTACTTCAATAATCTTGTGGAATCCTTTAAGTTCCCACATCTGAACCTCAGAGGTGAATACAGGGTGGGCACAAACTTATTTCCTCACCATCATTGTATGCTTCCAGGAGGCTGACCACTGGAACCACTTAGAAATCAGAGCCTGAACCTGAGCGTATGTTGCCCGTTATATGCATCCTGAGCCTGGTGGAATGCCAGTTACAGGATGAATAACAAAGGGTTGAGAAACAAGGGTTCAGCAGGATTTGTACTAAGTCATGGTGACTGAATAGTACAAAGAAAGTGCTGAATTCTTGGTGTTTCCTTTATTGTCTTTTGGTTACTGTATAGATCTTTGATTTCACCATTATTAATAAATATAATTTTATGTCTATGTTCATGCAGGGATTGAACAGCATTAGGTACATGGTATTCATTTTGAAATATTTCTTGAATTATGTTCAGTAATAGTAATGACTTGAATTTGTAACGTTTAATCTTCAAATAATAAGGGATATAATACAGAAACACCAAGTAACTGTGGAGACTAAGCCAGGAGATCCAGCACTGTTTTGAATTAAGTTTGCAGGGAAGTATCTAGATGATACATTTTCTCTATTATAATAATTTGTAATGACCCATAATTTTTGCTATTTATCTGACTTTTCTCTTTATTGAGTTTTTGATAATGACTATTATTTAGCTCATAAAATGTGCTATGTGATGGATTTTCTTTTGGGATGCTGAATAACAGTTTATGTAACACTAGAATTATTTATTCTTAAAAGTACGATTGGATTAATCAATGACTTTATTGAGTCTGATCTTCTGTTGCTTTTAGTAACTTTTTCATAACTTTCTCAATTTCTTATGTTATTAGTCTATATTTTCTATTTATTTTTATATTTTATCATTTAATATATTCAATTCTTGTAATTTTATATTTATTTCCTGATTTTTAATCATTCGATTCCTTTTGATTAACTTTTGACTCTACATCACGTTGTTCAGAGGCTGACTGTGGCCCAGGAGAGAGGGCAGGCCAGGAGGGTTCGGGTGCTGTCTCTGAGGGTCTCCTGGTGTTCCCTGCTTGATCTCTTGCTTCTTGCTTTGTTACATAAAAATATCTTTGATTCTCAACCTGGTTCTGACTCTAGAAATCCAAGTGTTCTTGTTTCCATCATTAAAGCATGACAAGAGTGTCTGTTCAGTTTGCTGTGCTCTGTTCTGTTTGCTGCTCCATGTTATCTCTGGATCATGGGCATTCCTCATGTTCCCTCCACTCTACACAGACATCTGGTCAATCCTTGTTAAATTATCAGATGTTGAACGAAGTGGCCATGCATGTCCTAGGTGACATTTCCTCTCTGGAGTGCTTGTCTTATTCTTTATTCCTCCTTAATAAACGTGCACAAAGTTTTTCCATAATTTTGCACCTTTGAAAGTATTAGATATTAAAACAAGGAAATTAGAATTCCCACAAAATTCATATCCCTGTCAAATTTCTCCTACGCTTCTCATATTAGCCTAATGTATATTGCTGCATACGTATTTATCATTATTACATCTTTACAACTGCTTGTGCAAATCCTTCAATGCTTCAAAGCTTGATAATGAGTGAGTTGTCTTACGTAAGCTGTACTAAAAAGAAAAAATACATGAAAGTAAGCTACCTGTAGACTTGAAAGCGTTTTTCTATTACATGTGTGTCCACACACGTGAAAACTGTTTTGCATGTTAGCCTTTTAAACATCAAACGCTTAACCAATTTTGATAAAAAAAATCTTTTGATAGCACACTTTATTTGGCTCAGTTTCCTAAAGAATATTTTACTAAATATAACATTTTGTATGAGATCTGTTTCTATGTCAATTATTATTTGAGAGCCTTAGAGATAAATCTATATGATCTACTTCCTTGCTTTCTTTTTATGATTTGAATATTTTTAAAAATTCTCTTTTTATCCATTGGCATTTTTGTTGCATCTCTCTGTAGTTTTGTGGGTGCTTTATGGATTATGCTTATACATCTCTAATTTTTCTTAGGTATACATAGTGTTAATATTTCACCATTTCATATAAGACGTAGAAGCCTTACAGCCACCTCAGTGTCTTTATCATTCTCTCCGTATCTAGAGTTGTCACGTGTATTACAGATACATCCATTGAAACTCTCATTCTAGCCAATGTTCTGTTTCTTATTTCAACTTTCAAATCTACTTTAAAGAACGTATAAGAAAAAATATCATCTGTTACATTTACCTGGGCATTTACCGTTTCTAGTGCTTTCTCTTTATTCCCAAAGTTCTAAGTTTCCCTTGAAGACCATTGCACATCTGATTGAAAAATCCCCTTCAGCCTTGCTTTAGAGCAGGTCTGTCAGAGACAGCTCCTCTCAGTTTTCCTTCATCCAAGCATGTCTTCATTGAGCCTTCATTTCTGGAGGATGTGTGTTCTAGAGGTGGGATTCTGGGTTAGCGCTTCGGTTTTCTCTGTGCTGTCTTCTGACATCTCTGATAGGAAATCTGCAGCCCTTGGATCTGTTGTTCCCATAAACAAAATATACTGTTTCTCTCTGGATGGTTTCTAAATTATTTTTTTACCTTAATTTTCAGAAGTTGTTCCTGATTTGCCTGGGCTTTTCTTGGAGTTTCTGTCATCCATCCTTGCTGTGCAGCTGCCTGATTTAGGCAGCCTACAGATGACTTGGGTCAAAGCTGGAGATGAAAGAGAAAAAGACACAACCATGAGAACCGAGAACTGCACCCTTGCTGTGCTGGTCGCCCATCAAATTTTACTACTTCCTGAACCTGCTTGCTGTCATTTTTCATACATCAGGAGTCGCTTTCTGTGTTGTCCATAGTTTTTAGATGCAATTTGTGATGGTGATAGTCTGTACAGGGCTTACTCTGTCTTAGGTGGGACCAGAAACCTGAATCCTTTACTTTAAAAATATTATTTAGGGGCTAGCCTAGTGGCACAGTGGTTAAGTTCGCACGGTCCATTTTGGTGGCCCAGCATTCACCAGTTCAGATCCTGGGTGTGGATTTACAAACCGCTTGGCAAGCCGTCCTGTGGCCGGGGTCCCACTCATAAAGTGGAGGGAGATGCTCACAGATGTTAACTCAGGGCTGATCCTCCTCAAAAAACCCCAAAATATTATTTAGCAGTTTAAGATATTGCACAAACCTAAATCAAGGAAGCACTGAATATGGTTTCTGAATCTTTAATGCTACCTTACTTCCAAGGAAAACTCATGAAATGTATTAAATGTAAGAAGAGAGGAAATTTTGTTTTCGGTTTTTATAGTGACATCATCAGTGTGATAATTTGCCAGAAAACAAACAAACAAATGAACAACAATATAATTTTTATTTACACTTGCAGTTTTATCTGTGATTACACAAAAATGATTGATAAATCAGCGTGGATCCAAGTAATTAACTCATGTAGGGGGATGAACGAGGAAGAGCTGCTCCATCAGAAACGATCTGTTGAGTGTATGCTTACCGTTAGCACAGATAGTGAAAATGTTCCCTTTAAGTGTATTATTTGCTTTATGTTCTAACATATCACAAAAGCAATATTAAGTAGCATAACCCACTAGAACAAAAAAATATATATCTTGTGAAAATGCATTGCCCAAAAGACATGTTTGTTCAATAAAATATCATATCGTAAAGTACAATGATAGAGAAATAAGCCAGTGACCTTGGATCTGGACTTTAATGTTTCCAGCCTAAGGCCGATTCTAAAACAGTACTTTGTGAAGGAGAATTTTCAGGCCATTATGTATATTCTTTAATGTACTATACACACAATAAATAGTGCTACTAAAAGCTCTTTTACATAATAACTGGTTAAATTAAGCTTGATGGTGTGTATTCAAAAAATAAATTAATAAGGGATTGGCCTGGTGGTGCAGCAGTTAAGTTCACACATTCTGCTTTGGCAGCTTAGGTTTCACTGGTTTGGATCCAGGGTGTGGACCTACACACCACTTGTCAAGACATGCTGTGTCAGGCGTCCCACATATAAAGTAGAGGAAGATGGGCATGGATGTGAGCTCAGGGCCAGGCTTCCTCAGCAAAAAGAGGAGGATTGGCAGCAGATGTTAGCTCAGGGCTAATCTTCCTCAAAAAAAAAAAAAACTAATAAAATGAGTTAATTCTAGACCCTCCTGAATCAATGACACAGCATCTTACCTCCCAGTCAAACCTGGCAACAGAGACCCCCGGTTCCTGAGATGGAGGGAGGTTCCTTCAATGGCTAGTGACGCTCAACTGTTATTCTTCCGGATTTGCAAGTTGTTCAGCTGCTCCATGGAAACAAACTGTGAGACCATTTCAGGTG